TATAAAGATATACCCTGAGCACCTTTCAGGTTGGACTATTTTCAGTTTAACGTGACAGCCCTACTTGGGGTTGGTTTTTATTCTGATGACTTTTAAGCTACTTGCTTGGGCAAAAGATAGTTGTTACTACATCTGTACGCTGTTGGGACTTGGGATATTCAAATGCACTCTTACAAATTGTCGCTCAAAACAAATTGGAGTTTGACCCAGTTTTGTTATGAAATGAAGTTTTAGGAGCTTTTGTTATATTTTAATTGTTGCAATTGTTTGGCTCTCAAGTTCGCCATAGTCCTGATATAAAGTGTCTTCTGCTTGTTCTTTTATTTTCAATTGAACTATATGCGCTTTTAGATATAAATCATATTCGAGACTTTTGTTTAGGCTTTTATTGTTGTGCCATCATGGTTACTTCCTTTTCCGTTCAGTTCTTTGTTTAAAATGAAAAATGCATGTTTTGAACTAAAGAGCTGAGGCTTTTAAGTGGCTTGTAACTTCTTTTTTATACTAGCAGTGCATAGAAGTTAAAAAGGGAGAATAGTTGGAGCAACTTCCTAATAAGTTACTCCTTCCATCCTATATCATAGACGCTGTTTAACTAGACACCGAGTTAGAGTGGTAAATAAATGTTTTAGTATTGGATCCAGCCTTTTGTGTGAGAGTTCTGCTTAGCTGCAGATTGTAATAAGGAAAAAGAGGGTGAGATTATTGTCATAAACCTAGTCACAATTCACTTTCATAATCTATTTTGGAGACTAGAGGTCTATGTTACATAAATACATGAGAAAGGTCCGTCATTATTTTCTTTAAATTTATTCCGGAAAAAGTTTTACAGAGCTTGTATCCACATCTTGGGAGCTACTAAATGTATAGTTGACAGAATACAATGTATGTCCCATGAACTTCTAATTTCTATACACCAGAAAGAAGTTTATGCTCTTTTCTTCGAATGTTGATGTTCCTCCAGCAATAAGCTTGACTGAGCGTGGATCTTGCTGTGCCAGGAGCCTTGGAGTCTGAGTCCTATCATCCTTCTAGTATACCCTGGAATCTGTGAAGTGTATTTCTTGCCGCTTATCGTCTTGTACGTTTCTTATACAATGTCTTGCATGAACAGTGTTCATGATACATTAGTCATTTAGTTGTAAAGCACTTTGAATTCCTTGCTTAATCCTGCAAAAGTCAATTTTACTAGGTCTGTTGTATCGTGGGATAACTGATTCTAGGATTACTGTTTCACCCTATGGCAGGTATAAGTTATCCCCGTACTATTTTTAATCCCGGGATAACTTATCCGAGGATTAGTAACCAAACAGGGATTAGGCGATACTAAAATTTATCCCACGATTATTTTTACTTGTCATACCAAACGACGCATCCATTTTTTTGTTTTTTCTTTCTTTTTCTCTTTTGCTTAAGTAGCATATTGTTTTATCCTACTTATTATATACCTTGCACTAGTCTTCTGTACTAGTGTTGTGTTTGGTGATATTGCTTCAGTCAGTAACTCAGTGGGCAATCCATTAATTCACGTCGTTTTTGTTTACCAGATCAGGAAAATTGAAAAGACTTGGCATTGCATGTTGCTATGATATGGTACGCAAAGACTTGGTTGAAGCAGTTCAAAAGTTCCCATTGTTAGAGGAGTTGAGTCTGACGCACACTACCATCACAACAGAAGGCATTGAAGCTCTTCGACACTCTTGCCCACGCTTGAAATCCTTTGATGTGAATAATAACTCATGTTTTATGTGTCTTGTGTGGTATCCAGACTATTAACCATGTGTTTGAATATAATATTTATTATGAAACAAATTGTTTATGCAACATTAATAAATTTATGCATCAAATAGATCATTTGTTTGTGTCCATTTACTTGTATACGAGATGATTTGGTGTATAGGGTTTAGCTTATATACAAGATCAAATCAATCAAATCATCCGTTCGTATAAGTTATATGTTCACAATTGGTTTGTAGCTTTTTTGCTCCACTTAGTTTGTTGATTATGAATATTTTTTGCCTTAGACAAAACTTCACATCCATTTTGACATGAAATTGTTGTTGGCATAATTGGGGAGACGTAGGTCTATTCAACCAGGAAATGGAGGAACCACTGTAAAATATGGCCCACATGAGTATTTTGGTTTAATATAAATATATTTTGTTAAATTAATATTTGGATAAAATTAGAGGAAGTTAATTATGGTCATAACTCCCCACTAACCCACTTTGATGGAAAGTGGGGGAAGTTAATTATGGTTATAACTCCCCACTAACCCACTTTGATGGAAAGTGGGAATTAACTGATGGTCCCTCTCTCTGCCTATTAAAAGGAAGAATAGCGTACTCCATCTATTCTATTCTGAAAAGAACATAGAAAAAGAAAAGAGAGAGAAATACTGATTTTCTCAAGAACAGCAACTCTGAAGAAGACTTCCGCTCAATTTAATTAAGAAAACACATCATGGATTCAGGTAAGTTTTCTTAATTGAAGTTATTGTATCTCTATTTTATGTGAAAATCATATAGTTCCACGGTTCTGAATAATCGAAAGGATTTATATAGATTGTTTATAAATCACAATCTAGAATTGAGAAAATCCCAACATGTGGTATCAGAGCACAGGTTTAGGAACTAATGATTTTCCGCTAAAATTAATGTTTTCTTAATTTTGTGAATCCTAATTGTATATTCAAGGAACTTCACAATTACTGTCAATAGTAATAGCGAAGCAGATATAAATTGATTTTTATGTGTTGATGACCAATAGTATATTTGATTATCATTTGATTTCATGATCCTGTTCGCTTTGTGGATTCGACAAGTATAAGATTTGCTTCAAATACTTGACTTCATAATTAGTAAGTAAACGTGAAATTGTGAAAACAATATTCATCACGCTAGTTAGACACAGTAGAATACTTATGAATTTATTGGATTAGCCGATGTGGATTCAGTGATAAAATCCAAACTTAAGAATTATATTTGGAAGAATACCGTTTCAAAATTTCATTGGAATTATAAACATGAGGTTCGTTAATCACCAAAGTGATCGAATCATTATGAATAATTAATTTCAAAATAATGATTTGTTATACCCAATTACCCATAAGTTTTGATGTTTATAAACGACATGATGGATATTTTGTGGGTAAATTGAAGTTCTTGATTATAAGACATTGATGGATCGCCCAAAGATTGATTGTTTGTTCTTATAATTACTGAACATTAAATCGATAATTTAAATGTATCGTTAGTTTTATTTATTTATCCAAAGATAGTAAATACTACTAACTTGTACGTTAAAATTATCGAATTATGTAAAATTTATTTTAAGCATCATTATGTTAAAAAAAATGTATTTTGTGTTACTGATGATAGGCTATAATTGCATATTTTAGTCGCTTATTACACTCGAATTTACTGCACTTTAATTGAGTTTGCGCTTTAATCGCTAGTGTTTTGCACTAATTGTGTGTTTTATGCCTTGTAGGTGTGATTCCGAGCTATATAGATGTTATGGAATGAATTTAAGTGATTTGAAGCTTTGAAGTCTGAGTAAAAGCTCAAGGAATTAAGCCGGGATCATGTTCGGAGGTCAAATTTGATAATTAAGTACGAACGAAGACTTGAGGAGGCATATTGCGCACTGTCTAGTAAAATAGACATAACTTTTTTCTCAGAACTCCATTTGGGCTCCACAATATATGGTTGGAAAGCTAACTCAAAGGGCTACAACTTTCATGTTTTACGTTTTTCCAAATTCCAAACGGAACAGGGTGAAAAACCGCGGTTTTCCCGCGATCGCGGCAGAACCGCGGTAGAAGATGGTCGCGGACAACTGAAGAATCAGAGGGCATGTTTGGCCGCGGTTCCACCGCGACCGAGGCAAAACCGCGGCACGAAGCGAAAATTTCAGGGACTAAAGTGCAAAACATGGGATTTTAAGTCCTAAACCCTATATTAAACAAAGGAGGCCGGCCAAGACAAGAGGAGGACATATTTTGGACACAAATTAGACCTAAGGAGGCGGAGAGACACTACTTTAGGGTTAGACAACACCCTTGGAGGCAAGAACACATTGGGAGCAAGGCGGAGAATTCTTATACGAGTTATTTCCTTCCTCTTCCTATTTTTTTCATTGTTGGTTATGACTTTTAGTATTGTAGTTTTACATACTATTATGAATAGCTAATTTGTTATCTAGAGTTTTGATAGAACCTTTTGTAGGATAAATTCTTGTTATGTCTTTATATAATTGAGCCATAGCTTTTCTCTATTTGTTCAACTACGTTTATATTCTGGTTGATTGAAGAGCTCTCAATTAGCTGTGCCTATTTAGTATGCATAACTCGGGAGAGAGTGCATATTTAGGTAGTTGTTGAACAACACCACTCCCAGAGTATATGAGGGATCAATAACCGAGGGTTTAAAGGCGGGATTAGGGATAACGAAGCCTTGGGTGCGATCTGAAGTGAGCTGTATTAAAAGACAGCTAGCGTAGCTCGGGAGAGTGCGTCTAGTAAATTGTCGTAATTACTCGGGAGAGATTTACGGTAATAAGAGTGCTCATGATCGGTAGAGAATACTTAGGCGAAATTATAGAAGACATAGCGGGAAGGATTCCGACAATTGGGGAAATCATAACTCTAGACCTCCTTAATCTTTTCTCTAACCCTCAGTATCGTTAGTTGTTAATTTACTATTTTAATTTGTTAGTTAATTAGGTAAACACAAGAATCTTAATATCTATAAGTTAGGAATTGTTCAAGCTTGTCTTCTTGGTGATAGTGAACAGCTGTAGCTAAATCTTAGTTCTCTGTGGTATTCGACTCCGGACTTGTAAACCGAATTATATTTGCAGCGACCGCATTGTCCTTTTTATAAGGCATAGTTGGGCGTGATCAGTTACGCCCAAAGGTGGACATCAATATAAATTTAAGAGTAAAACATACACCATTCTGAATTTAACGATATATTTAATTTGAACTCAAAGCATTAATGAATGGGCATATTTTATTTGCAGCACTTGCTCTTCATTCGCACTCCGCTTCTGTTACGACCTTTAACGGACTCAACTTCTCAAATTGGTGCGAACAGATCAAATTCCATCTTGGAGTTTTAGATCTTGATGTTGCACTTTATACTGAGAGGCCAACAGCTATTACTGAAATTAGTAGTACTGAAGAAAGGTCCTACTTTAAGCACTGGGACAGGTCTGACAGATTAAGCCTAATGTTTATACGAATGAATATTACGGGCAACATTAAGACTACTCTTCCCAAAACTGAAAGCGCGAAAGAACTTCTGAAACTTGTGGAAGAATGCTCTCAAACTGCTGATAAGTCTCTTGCTGGGACACTAATGGGTACTTTAACCACCATAAAATTTGATGGTTCGCGTACCATGCATGAGCATGTCATTGAAATGACAAATATAGCAGCAAGACTTAAGACTTTGGGAATGGAAGTGGATGAGAATTTCCTTGTTCAATTCACTATTAACTCATTACCATCTGAGTATGGCCCTTTCCAAATGAACTACAACACCATGAAAGACAAATGGAATGTGCATGAACTGCACGGTATGCTGGTTCAAGAGGAAACAAGGCTGAAGAATCAAGGAACCCACTCCATTAATCTTGTAGGCTATCAAGGAGCTGGAAAGAAAGGAAAGAAACATGGAAAAGTTAAGCAGAGGCAACATAATGTCAATGAGTCCTCTTCTCAAGTACGTAAGAAGGAACACAAGAATGAAAAGTGTCGTTTCTGTAGAAAACCTGGACACTTTTAGAAAGATTGCCTGAAACGTAAGGCATGGTTCGAGAAGAAAGGTAAGCCTTGTGCTTTTACGTGCCTCGAATCAAATTTAACTGAATTTCCTTATAATACTTGGTGGATTGACTCTGGTTCTACTGTTCATGTTTCTCATACAATGTAGGGATTCCTTACAACCCAGACCATAAATCGGAATGAAAGATTTGTGTACATGGGGAATAGAGTGAAGGCTCCAGTTGAAGCTGTCGGGACTTATCGTTTAATCCTAGATACTGGGCGTCACTTAGACTTATTTGAAACTTTTTATGTACCTTCTCTTTCAAGAAATTTAATTTCCTTGTCTAAGTTAGATAAAGCTGGATATTTTTTAAATTTTGGCAATGGATGTTTCAGTTTGTTTAAGCATAATCATCTTATTGGTTCTGGTATTATTTGTGATAATCTCTACAAATTGAACCTTGATAATCTGTTTTCCGAAACCCTCCTAACTCTGCATCATAATGTGGGAACCAAACGTAGTTTGGTGAATGAACATTCAGCTTGCTTGTGGCATAAACGTTTAGGTCACATATCCAAAGAAAGACTGGAAAGGCTAGTTAAGAATGAAATCCTTCCACATTTAGATTTTACGGACCTTAATATTTGTGTGGATTGTATTAAAGGAAAACAAACAAAACACACAAAGAAAAGAGCCACAAAAAGCACTCAGCTTCTTGAAATTATACACACTGATATATGTGGTCCTTTTGATGTCACTTCTTTCAGTAAGGAAAGATATTTTATCACCTTTATTGATGACTTTTCACGTTATGGATATGTCTATTTGTTGCATGAAAAATCTCAAGCAGTGAATGCCTTAGAGGTATTTATTAATGAGGTTGAAAGACAACTAGANTTGACTATAAAGAGACATTTTCACCGGTCTCTAGAAAGGATTCACTCAGAATTATAATGGCTTTAGTAGCTCATTATGATTTGGAACTACATCAAATGGATGTAAAAACTGCCTTTTAAAATGGAAATTTAGAGGAAGAAGTTTGTATGGATCAACCAGAGGGGTTTGCCATTAAAGGAAAGGAACACATGGTGTGTAAACTTAAGAAATCAATATACGGACTTAAACAAGCTTCCCGACAGTGATATCTTAAATTTACGAAACTGTTGTCACCTTTGGATTTAAAGAAAACACTGTTGATCGGTGTATATATCTGAAGGTCAGTGGGAGTAAGTTTATTATGTTAGTCTTGTATGTTGATGACATCTTGCTTGCTACTAATGATCTTGGTATGATGTATGACACCAAGAAATTCCTTTCTAATAACTTTGAGATGAAAGATATGGGAGAGGCATCCTATGTGATCGGGATAGAAATACTCCGAAATAGATCACTAGGATTATTGGGATTGTCTCAGAAAGCCTATATTAATAAAGTGTTAGAAAGATTTAGAATGGAAAAATGCTCATCAAGTCCCGTTCCAATTCAGAAAGGGGATAAATTTAGTCTCAATCAATGTCCAAAGAATGAATTGGAACGTATGCAAATGAAAGATATTCCTTATGCATCTATAGTTGGGAGCTTAATGTATGCCCAGACATGTACAAGACCAGACATCAATTTTGCTGTTGGAATGCTGGGAAGATATCAAAGTAATCCAGGGATGGACCACTGGAAGGCTGCAAAGAAAGTGTTGCGTTACTTGCAAGGAACGAAAGATTATATGCTCACTTATAGAAGATCTGATCATCTTGACGTGATTGGATATTCAGATTCAGATTATGCTGGTTGTATGGATACAAGAAAATCTACATTTGGTTATTTGTTCCTGTTAGCCGGAGGAGCAATATCATGGAAGAGTGCGAAGCAGTCTGTCATAGCTGCTTCCACTATGGAAGCTGAATTTGTGGCATGCTTTGAGGCTACAGTTCAGGCTAATTGGCTGCGGAACTTTATTTCAGGACTTGGACTAGTCGACAATATTGCCAGGCCGCTGAAAATTTATTGTGATAATTCCGCAGCAGTCTTTTTCTCTAAGAACGACAACTATTCAAAGGGTGCTAAGCATATGGAAGTAAAATACTTTGCCGTCAAAGAAGAAGTCCAGAAACATAAAGTGTCAATTGAACATATTTGCACTAAACTTATGATTGCCGATCCTTTGACGAAAGGATTACCACCCAAAATATTTGTTGAACATGTTGAAAGAATGGGAATTATTAATAGCAATGTATGAATTTATCTAAAGACTTTATTATGTTTATGAAATTGACACTTTGAGCTCATTTAAACATATGTTTTTGGTATTCTATACCTGTTTTCTCTTGTATACATAATATTGAGAATAATGATGACAGGTTCAGGCTTAGATAAAGATATTCTAAGCATTAACGTTGGACCAATTAAGTATTACTTTTACATGTTGTATTGGGTAATAGACTGATATTGTAGTACATGGAAGGGACTATATCGAGTAAGTGATGTACAACCGCCATGACTCATATAAGTTTACTTATTCAATAACAACGAGTGATGTTTCCAATGAATGAGAATTTAACATTTTATTGTGCACATAATGATTGAGATATTTATTAAACCATTAAGTGAGTAACATCACGTGCACCAAGTGGTAGAATGTAAAATATGGCCCACGTGAGTATTTTGGATTAATATAAATATATTTTGTTAAATTAATATTTGGATAAAATTAGGGGAAGTTAATTATGGTCATAACTCCCCACTAACCCACTTTGATGGAAAGTGGGGGAAGTTAATTATGGTTATAACTCCCCACTAACCCACTTTGATGGAAAGTGGAATTAACGGATGGTCCCTCTCTCTGCCTATTAAAAGGAAGAATAGCGTACTCCATCTATTCTATTCTGAAAAGAACATAGAAAAGGAAAAGAGAGAGAAATACTGATTTTCTCAAGAACAACAACTCTGAAGAAGACTTCCGCTCAATTTAATTAAGAAAACACATCATGGATTCAGGTAAGTTTTCTTAATTGAAGTTATTGTATCTCTATTTTATGTGAAAATCATATAGTTCCACGGTTCTGAATAATTGAAAGGATTTATATAGATTGTTTATAAATCACAATCTAGAATTGAGAAAATCCCAACAACCACGACCAATGCTCGGTGAGTATCACTAAATCCAGCCAGATTTGCACCCTAACCACCACCCGTGACATCTACTTTCCCTGCTTCATTAAGAGTAACCGATTGCAAAATTGGAAAAGGGCTATATTTGCCTTTCCACTATCGAAAATAAGCTACATCTACCGTTCATTTAGTTTCTTAGTGTAACTATCCTTACCGTCATACTTTTGGATCATATTTGCGCTCCACCTGGTAAATACTTCATCCCACCCGGCCGATACTAATAAGAATGTGCATACTCTTCTTTTGACTGAACTTCCATTCCCGTTGGCTCTTTTTCGTACATCGACACCTATATTTTTAAAATAAAAGACAATTGTGATTTAGGCAGTGTTCAAAAGTTTACACTAGCAAGGAAATTAATAAGCGAAATAGGAGTCTTGACCTCAATACTTCAACAACGCCAAGTCACATGCATGTGCAGCTGCTTCTTCATCATCGTAAGTTCCTGATAAAAAATAAAACTCAGAAGATTAAAAATGAAGGCTTCTATACCATCATCGTATTAAATTGGTGGGCCTTTCATCGGTAAAGGCTTAAATTGAAAATGATAATATTGAAAAAATTAGAACGATAACAATAGAAACTTACCCAAGTAAACTGCAATTTAATCGGATTTTGTGATAAGCACGATTTGCGCCAGCACAACCAAAGTTTAGACGCCAAAAAAGGAAACTTTCCAGCAGTTTTTATCCCATAAATAAGCTTTATTATCGGCCCATGTCACGACCCGGAAATCCCACCCCAGGACCGTGATGACACCTAACATTTTACTTGCTAGGCAAGCCGACGTTAGAATAATTTTTAGCCATTTCTAACAATTCAAATTAAATAATAACCAAGAAACTAAATAAACTGAAATAGAGTGAGAAAACTATAACAACAGCGATATCTAGATATAATCCCAGAACTGGTGTCACAAGTGCACGAACGACTAGAATAATACAAATAATGGTCTGAATGAAAGTGTAGCTGTCAGAAATGAAATAAACAGCTAGACTAAGGTAGGAGGGGACTTCAGGGCGGCGAACGCCGAGCAACTGTACCTCAAGTCTCCGTCATGCAATCAATCCCAGCAATCTACTGACCGCCACTAGGACCGACTCCAAAATCTGCAAAAGTGCAGAGTGTAATATTAGTACTACCGACCACATGTACTCTGTAAGTGCCGAGCCTAACCCCAACGAAGTAGTGACGAGACTAAGGCTGGTCACTTACAAAAACATGTACGCAGTATAGTAATGATAACAGGAAAGGAAACACAGGTAAAGTAAGGCAGTTAACTTATGAAAATAAGCTCAATCCGAAATCAGTAAAACCAGAAACATTAGTACTTAGAATCTCGTATGAAAACACTGAAAACTAACATAATGCAACGATGAATACAAAACACACAATTTGTTGCGGCGCGCAACCCCATCCCACCATATAATTAGAATCAATATCATAATCCTCCTTATTTCACCATAACAAAATCACATATAAAATTCGTTGTAGCGTGCAACCCGATCCCACCATATCAATATCAATCCTCCCTTATTCCACCCATTGCAGCGTGCAACCCGATCCATAAACAAAATCAATAAATGTAATCAATCCAACAACTCAATTCACAAGAAGCTCTAAGATTAAAGAATATGAAAGCAAAGTCATAAAGGAACCTCGTACCAAATCAAGGAATTCTACAATTAATACAAAGCAACAAGACATGCCAATATACAAGGATTAAAGTGTCCAAGTAAGACAATTAAGGCAAGTAGCAGTTAATCATGGTAACATGGAAGAAAAGAACATTTTAATTCGAGAGATAAGTGACAAGTAACAAGTTAAGGCATATGAAGCAATTAAATCATGTA